GGGGGTTACCTTAGGTTCTTTTCAAGAGTCGAAAAAAAACTGATCATGATTATTAACCAAAATGGTTCTACTTGTGTTAAGTATATTTCTCGAGCAAATTGTAGCTTGAATAATGCAAGAGAGGTTAAGAATCCAGGAGAAATAAAAAGGTAAGCTAGGTGTCAGCCTGTCTTTGGGCTAGCGTCTGGATCAAAATTGCGTTTCTTAGCTGCGATAAACCGGTGTCGGTTAAGCTTTTTTTACATTTGCAGGAAGAAGTCATGAGTTCTTTTTCCGAGAGGGGAACATTTTGTTTGTTTGTAGGTTGTTTTCTTGTTTTTTGTGGTTTGTTTGTTTGCTTTTAATTAAATCAGTTTTCTCTGTCTTTCTACCATGGCAATGTATCTAAGAGGCAGGGCCGAAACAATGGTATGGATGGCGATGCAATACGTTCATTCATATTTCGTATATAGCACCCCCCCTCCTAATCAAACAAAAAATCTCCCACAAAATAAAACGACAGGCAATCTCACCGCAGGGCTCTCGTGGTCTAGAGGATACGGTTTTGCGCCTTTCATTCCATAGGTCCTTGTTCGTAACCTGACATATTAATTTTCTTCTTTCACCCCTTTCCAGTTCTGTAACCATATTCTGTAGTCTGCTTTCGCCTCCACGTTTTGCCCCCCCCCCCCCCCCCCCTTACGCCCCATCCTTTGGGCACCGGACTCTTTCTGCTGCCTTTCTACTGCTATTCCTTTGCTCTTTCTAACTGCTGTCCTTCAACCACACCCCTGATCTTAGGGTAGGTAAGATCTAACACCTATCCTTCTGAGGTATAAACGAGAAAGCTCGGGTGTCCTGTGTGTAAGTTGTCCACATTAAAGATCCCTTGGTAATCCAAAAATCGATTAGAACAGGCTTCAGCCACCACCCGAGTACAATTCAAAATTGTTTCATGCGTCCAGCAGTCTCATATGACCTTATGCAGTTGAGAGCACCGTTAATAAATGCTTACCAAAACAAAACGAAACAAAAAAATCTCACCATGAAGGGAAAGTGTAGGGGACGAGGGACGCCGTAGTCTCCAGGATACACGTTGTCCATGTACCACGTGATGGTCATATAGATGGCTGCGTCCACCAGCAACATAATCATAGCATCAGTGATACTGTAGGTGCCGTCCGCCGTGGGAGGGTCATTCATGTTGGAGAACTTCGCGCCCGCTCCTACAGGAATAAAGCCACTTGCTTTGTATAGTTTCTATAATTGTGTTTGCTTTTTGTTGTTAATAAAACAGAAGTAAAATTTTTAAAAAATATATAAATAAATAAAAAAGTATATACATATAATATATATAATATAGAATATGCATTTCTAAAATAACAAATTCTATTATAATTTTTATTTTATTATTTATTTCTTGAGGTATACAGTGGGAGTGTCACACATATTTAACTTACCGCTGCACCACCAGGCATAATTAAGGAGTGCTCTTCTATTAGTATGTTAAAAAAAAACAACAGCTGAAGCATTTCTTTTTCACAAGTGCATACCTGTCAAAACGATTAACTGTTATACATGCATACGTGTATGCACGATCGTGAGATTGAGAGAGAGAGAGAGAGAGAGAGAGAGAGAGAGAGAGAGAGAGAGAGAGAGAGAGAGAGAGAGAGAGAGAGAGAGAGAGAGATTGTGTTAGTGTGAGAAAAAAAAGGGGTTTAGAGTAAGGAGTGGACGATGGAAAAGGTCAGCTAGGCCTACGTGCTTCATGCAATAAA